AACAAAAGCTTGAAAAGCTCAAGATGGCAATGAATTCAAAATTGGGTTTGCCCTTCAAAATAGACGGAAAAAACCTCTGAGGATTAGCCAAATCAGATCTCTGCTATTGGTTTTATTACACAAATCTTTAGGCAGGACCCTGGTCTTCATTATTGACCTGAAGTTTCAACCAATAGTCAGTAGTTTCAGAGTAGAAGTTTACCTTGGACTCCATCACAGAAATTATACTACCAGGTTCAGTACTTGACTAAAAGAATGTTGTCAAGCCACAAGAGTTCATCCAACAGAGTTCATCAACAGTGAAGAGTTAAATCAACTAACACATAAGTGTAGAAATGTTATTTTGACAGTTATAAACCCACATATCTGTTATAAAAATCTCATATCGCATGACTGCAGTTATCCTCTGGGATAAGACTGGCCCTGTAAACGTGCCAGTGGTCCATACGCTTCATATTCGCAACGTTGGCTAATCAGTTAAATTATTTTGCAAGGAGAGTTTCTGTCTTTAATTTCTTAATTCCATATAAAGCAAAATTGTACTGGATTTTCAAATCGTTTCAAACTAGGACATGAGGAAAACAGAAGTAATTGCGCTTACATCATGGCTATCCTGTCTGCAGATCAAAATCAATTATTTTTCAACCACTCATTGTAAGGCTACAGTCACTTATCAGAATATCACAATGAGATGTTTAAAAACAATATCTTGCACAATTAACAATGGTCATCTGACAATGTGTTAGCTTCCTTTCCCTCCTTGTCCAAGACCTTACACAAGCCAGCCATGCTCACTAGGTAGCTGGCTGGATTCACAGTGTATCACTACTGTTATGTAATTAAACGTTGGATAGCACAGGATGGCAAACCGCACTGACATGGAACAACAACAATGGAAAGCTGGAAGATAGATACGGAGAAACTTGCCACATTGTTTATATATAAACAATGACATCATTGCCACCTCTTTCATGACCTGTTAACAACCTGATGTGTACTTTTTGTGCCCTCAACTTCCCTCTGCTCCATTGTCAATTATATTAAACTCAGGTCTTCTGGTTAGAGTCCCTCCTGCCAGTAGAAATTTTTTCTCTCTCTATCTCTCTATGCCTTCCCTCTTACGTGCTTACTGGACTGCTGCATATCTTGAAGATATTTTCTTAACAACCTGTTCAACCTCTGGAGCTGGTGGGACGTGAACCCAAGCTGCCTGGCTCAGAGGTAGGGACACTACCATTGCACCACAACAGCCTTTGTGCTCTGTCATTTTCTTAATCAACCTGTTCAGAGATGTTACAATACACCTCTGGTGCAAATGGGGCTGGAACTTGGGCCTCCTGGCCAAGAATTAGGGATACTACCATTGCACCACAACAGCCTCACTTCCACTCTGTCAAAATCTTTCATTATTTGAAACACCTGTATTAAGTTTCTGATTAAACTTCTCTGCCCTAAGAAGGAGGATACCAGCCGTCTTGCCATTCATTGCACCCCTCTCTCCATCAAATGAACCAGTCTGCAACCTTGGACAGCACCCAATATTACCCTGTGTTTTCCTTACCTCTCGGCTCAACTATTCCAATACTGCCATGGCCAACATCCCATTCTCCACCTTACATTAATTTAAGCAAGTTCAAAGCCTTGTTCCCTGTACCCTAACTTGCACCAAGTCTTACTCAGAGTCATACAGCATGGAAACAGACCCTTCAGTCCAACTCATCCATGCCAAATGGGTTTTACAAACTAAACTAGCCCCATTTGGCAGAGGTTGGTCAATACCTCTTTCTTCTCCATGTACCTGTCTATATGTCTTTTAAATGTTGTAACTGTGCATGCATCTACCAGTTCCTCTGGGAGTTCATTCCACATATAGACTTAAGACTTAGAATCCCTACAGTGTGGAAACAGGCCCTTTGGCCCAACAAGTCCACCCTGACTCTCACAGCATCCCACAAAGACCCACCCCACTTATAAACCGAGATTACAAGGTGTAGAGCTGGATGAACACAGCAGGCCAAGCAGCATCAGAGGAGCAGGAAGGCTGACGTTTCGGGCCTTGACCCTTCTTCAGAAATGG